ACAAATTCCTGAACATCAAATTTCATATTGGGCCAGTAATAGTGATTAGAGATACGGTGAAAAGTCTTGCGGATCCTACCATGACCACCGACTACTGTAGAATGGAATTCATGTAGCAAAGTAGTACGAATTGTTGAAGTGCTGGCCTAAACAATGTGCCCCTTGAAGTAAATAAGATCATCCTTAAATTGGTAATGCTCAAACCCTTCTCTGTTTTCCTGAATAGCTGTTAATATTTTTTTTAATTCAGAATTTTCCTTGACCTCTTCTTTAATGGCAGGTAGCAGTGGATTAATTCTGGTGGATAAGATCATCACCTGTGAAGCTTCCACGTCAATGTTCTTCTCACCTTCGTGCTTTTTGGACAGGGCATCTGCGACCTTGTTGATTGCACAAGGGTGGTATTCAATATCAAAGTCGTAGCCAAGTAATTTGACTAGAAAGTGTTGCTGTTCCGGTGTCTGGATAACTTGAGCCATCAGGTTCTTTATACTGCGTTGATCAGTTCTGATGGTAAATTTTTTTCCCAACAGATACTGACGAAATTTGGCTAGCCCTTCTGTAATGGCAAAGAGTTCCCTGACGTACGTAGAAGCCTGCTGTATCCTTGTTGACAATTTGCGGCTAAAGAAAGCAATGGGTTGGTTATCTTGGCTGAGTACAGCTCCAATCCCAGTTCCAGATGCGTCTGTAGTTAGCATAAAGGGCTTACTGAAGTCGGGTAAGGCTAACACTGGGTGATTAGACAGAGCCTCCTTCAACCGGTTCATTGCATGTGTTGCCTTGGAATCCCATTTAAAGGCATCCTTCTGGAGGAGTGTGGTCAATGGAGCTGCTATCTGGGAGAAACCCCTTACAAATTTGTGTTAGTATCCTGCCAATCCAAGGAATCCTCTTAACTGTTTCACTGTGTTGGGCTCTTTCCACTCCATAATAGCCTTAATTTTTCCCTCATCTGGTCTGACACCCATTGCATCTACCACATGGCCTAGATACTCCACCTCAGCTTGAGCAAATGAACACTTCTCCCGTTTTGCGTAAAGCTGGTTAGTTTGCAGACACTCTAAGACAGCACGCAGATGTTGCAAGTGGTCTTCTAGGGTCCTGCTGTAAATTAAAATATCATCAAAGAAGACAATTACAAACTTCCGCAAATATACCTTAAGTACGGAGTTCATGATCCCCTAGAAGGTTGCTGGGGCATTGGTCAGGCCAAAGGGCATAACCACAAACTCATAGTGGCCCTCGTGCGTGCGAAATGCAGTTGTGTAAATGTCCTGTTCAACCATGCGGATCTGGTGGTAACCAGACATGAGATCCATCTTGGAAAAAATAGTAGCTCCTGCCAACTCGTCAAGCATCTCATCCACAGTAGGGATGGGAAAGCTATGGGCTATCGTCACCTGATTGAGAGCTTTATAATCCACATAGAACCTCCATGTACCGTCTTTCTTTTTCACAAGCAATGCAGGAGATGAAAAAGGGCTGATACTAGGGCGGACCACCCCTGACTCCAACATCTCTCTCACCATTCTTTCCATTTCAGTTTTGTGAAGGTGTGGATATTTGTAGGGTCTAACACTAATGGCTTTTGTTCCAGGTTCCAAATGAATCTGATGGTATTGCTGACGACGTGCAGGTAATGTGGTTTGGCTTCTCGAATACTTGCTCAAATTCTTTCAGGACTTGCAGCACCTGATCATCAAGTTCCTTTCTAGTTGCTGTTTGAGGCTCATTAGGATGCACGGTGGCATGTAACTGATACAGGCACGCCACTGAGTTGGAAGCTGTTAATCTCCGGAATTGATTCAATTGAATGGCTTCCATGTTAATATTGGACCCCTCTTGTATCTCCACCTGCTGTCCATTTCTTTCAAACTTCATCACTAGTTGTTTGTAATTTATGGTGACATCACCCCATTCAGATAACCATTGTATCCTCAAGACCACTTCAGCTCCTTGAATTGGTAACACATAAAGATCCGGGCAGAAGCAATGACCTTGTATTTCCATAGCCACCTTAGGACACATTCCCAAGCAGTCCATCTTTTCTCCATTTCCCACCAACACTTGGAATTTCCGTGTAGGTAAGATCTTTAAACCCAAAAATTTCACCAAACAGTCTTGGATGAAATTGTGGGTTGAACCACCATCAACCAGAATTTGTACTGTTGCATTGTCTATCCTCCCCTTGACTCTCAGAGTACTAGTTGAATGTTGACCTGCCATGGCATGCAAGCTATTCTCTGGCATCAGATGATCTCCACTTCCTACTTCCTCAACAACAATCTCTGGACCTATGGCTGTATCTTCCAACACCGGTTGGTCATCTTCTTCTTCCTGCATTACCAGGATAAACATCTTCCCCTTACAGACATGACTTCTATTAAATTTCTCATCACAATAGTAACACAACCCCTTCTCCCTCTTCTCCAACATTTCGGCAGTTGTGAGCTTCCTCATGGGCAGTGTTGCCTTGGATGTTCCCGCACCAATAACAAGAGTTTTGGAAGGTGTAGGTAAAAGGCCAAGTTGGCTACTAACAGAATTTCCTACTTGAGTTTTATTGTAATATGCTCTGCTAGTGCTTTTATCATTCAATTTGCCCTCTACTATTTTAGCTAAATCAATAGCTTGTTCCAAACTTGTAGGAAGATGCATACATATCTCCTTGCGGATCTCCGGCTTGAGACCAGATTCGAAGTAACTTTGTAGACTCAAATCATCAATCCCGATTACTTGATTAGCCAGCTGCTCAAAGTGCGTTTGGTAATCATCCACTGTTGTATTTTGGGTCAACCTACCCAATTCACCCCTCAAGTCTCTACACCTCGAAGGACCAAATCTGGAACGCAAGGCTCCCAAAAATTGATCCCAGGTGCGCAATCTCCCATTATGATCCATCCAATGGTACCATTCTTCCGCTTTACCATCCATATGGAATGAAGTTAACGTAAATTTTTCAGCATCGGATAAGCTATGGAATCCATAGAATTGCTGGATCTTATGGATCCATGGCTCCGGATTACCTCCATTAAAACGAGGTATGGTTAGTTTGACCGATTTGGAGGCATTGTTACCAAATAAACACCCAAGTCCCTCTCCAAATGAGTGTTCTGCCTTTCCTTTGTTCTTCTGATTCTGATCTAATTTTGCTTCCATCAAAGTTAATTTTAAGTTCATTTCCTGTAACAGGTTACCCAAGGAATTGAACTGTTCTTCGTGGTGTGTCAATCGGGCCATACATTCATCAATGGCATTCTGATGTTTCACAGTGCTGCGAGTTCCCTCTGTCATGGCGATGATGAGAAGAAGTTTCCTCTCAATGAAAGCACCAAAATGATAGAGCTTAAAGACTGAAACATACTTGAGGACTGTATATTAACGATTCAACGACAATTCGAGTTTGTCGGCGACTCCAAGAAATTGCAGAGAAGGAAGAAAGAGGATTCAGTTATAAAACTCAGACACCTCACATAACAATGTGACTCTCAATTAAAAGGAATAACAGCTTCTACTCCTATTGGGCTTTCTACGCGTAGGCCCATTATTTACAAAGCAGCCTAATTTGTTTTACTTCAGCAGGAATACTATGGGACTCTGATCAAGTGTGCCTACATTATCCCAAGTGGTAGTCTCTGGTCCAAGTTCGAACGCATTCTGACCCGTGTCTCTCTTCTAGGAGCTTCTTTCCCTCTCTGTTGACGATTCCACCGTCACAGCTTCTTCTCCTTCATTTCCACCGCTTCCTTCGTCTCTTCCTTGTTCTGGGTGCGTATCAGAACTCTTACCAGGGAAAGCATATTATTTGGGAATGAAATTGAGAGATGAAGAAGAATGAGAGAGAGAAAGTGTGTGTTATGAAAACGCAAGGTATTTTGGTCCGAAGAATCGTGTGAAATTTTCCGTTGTCTCGGGAATCCAAAAATACCACCTCCCTCATGGGATATTTTTGGATGACATTTTTCTTTACAAATTGTTCACAAATCAGAATCCTAGGAAAATCAGATTGTCGGGAAAATTTCACAAACCTTATACCAATGTAGGTAAATATGATTCCCAATATTAGTTTCACGGGAATCTAAAAAAAAATCCCTCTACCAAACACTCCACAAGGGTATTTTTTACACTCAAGAAGCTGAAAGCTAGTCAATTAAAGTCATTTTTTTTTTTAATTTCTACTCTGATTAATTGGATAGATTAATTAAGCGAGTTATGAAAATATATAAAATAGTGATAGGAGAGCCGTCCTTTTAAGTTTATAGATTTTGAAAAATAATCATCTTACCTAAATCAAGTTGATAGGTGACGGGCTTGAATGATGGATAATGCACAGATTTCGCTTACCTATGTTAAGAAACTTCATAATATTTAATTATTTATTATTATAATGGAAGCGGTGAAGATCGAACTCATGACCACTTAGTTACAGATGCTCTAATACCATGATAAATAACTATTTCACCCAAAAGCTTAGGTGAAGGCCATAATAATGGTTTTATATTATCTCACTCTAACAGATTTGATAGAGCTCAAATAAGGATAGTCAGGTATTTGATTGGTGGAAATCTAAAAGAAACATGGTTCTTCATTTCAAATATTGTGCTTCAGAAGTTTCAAAATTACAATATTTTTTTCATTGTAGTTTTTTAAGGGAAAAAAATAAATAAACAATGAATTTCGTGATAAAGGAATTAGATGGAGATATTATGATGTAATCTTCTTCTCTGTTAGTTTTAAGTTTTTTATTTTGACTACTTATGCTAGGGTCCTTAGTGAGTTTGCATAATCTTATTTCACATTTAAAGGTTAAAACAGTTGTCAGTCAAGTCATGAATGAATTTATCGGTTTTGACTCTAGATTTAGTTTCAGATTTTAAGCTATAAAAACTCAAAAGCTATGAAGGCAGTTAACACTATTATAGTGTTATGTGATGGATTTAATTTTATAATACCGTACAGAAACTGATTTGATTATGAAGTTCAATTTTCTTTTTTAGGGATGCTGATTGGAATAAAGCATTTAATTTTTCTTCTGATTTGGGCTTCGTGACTTCTTGCATTCAGAAGATTAAAGGTATGAACATACAACAATTAAAAAGAAATGATGCCATTGGTTCATTTTAGTTCTTAAAAAGTATACAAAATAAATGACTGAATTTTTCTCTGTTTGGTTAGAAAATCTGAGTGTGATCATTTCAAAGATCTTGGTGGTGTAGAAATTTTTAGGTTACTACATGCTTAGTGGTCTGTAAGGATGAAAACACGGTTTAGTTTGATCTTGAGTAGAAATGTTGGTAACAAGCATGGACTTCAATCAAGAATAACTATATGGTTCCCAGAGGCTTTGATAGCATGTCAAGCAACCAACTCTCTCAAAAGTTTAAGCTGTTAGGTTAAGGCACGTTTTATATTATAATTCTTTAACACAGACCAGCTATTGTATTAGCTGTCTATTTGTGTTCTTTTTATTCATATCACTATTGTACTTTTTCATCTTCCTTTGTTCTGAAAATATGTGCTCTACATCTCTGTTTCACTTCCAATCCCACTGTTCTTATGCTTTGCAATCTGGTGATTCTGATGTAAAAGCAGGAGATATTACTCCCCGCTTGTGTACAGCAGCAGAAATACAGTTTTACTTAAATAGTTTATTTGAGAGACCTACAAGTGCCAACTATTTAAAGCCTAACAAGAACTGCAATTTATCCTCATGGGTCTCTGGTTGTGAGCCAGGATGGGCCTGTAGTGTTCCCTCAAGCCAGCAGGTTGACCTTAGAAATTCACAGGAGATACCTGCCAGAACTACAAACTGTCAAGCATGTTGTGAGGGTTTCTTCTGTCCTCATGGCATCACATGCATGATACGTAAGTATAACGGGAATCTTTAAAATCCTTTGTTCATTATATACCTATTTTTAATTCAACATATTAGCATCCTCCTGCTTTATAAGATAGTTTATTAATGCTACAAAGCCTGAAAAAAATTGATTGAACTGAAACCGTAATTTACCAAGATTCAAGGGTGGTTTTTGGATAAGTGAAAGTGGCGGGGACACTCATCTATCCAAGATTTAATATAACACTGCCAATTTATTCTGGCAAAAATTCAAACAAAAAGATGCTGGCTTTCTCATATTTTCCATTGGAAAAGTCCAATGAAGAAATTCTTAAATTTTTTTCAAGTGTTCAAAATATGCTGGGTAATTCATATGGTTTTAGAACAATGTCTGATATTATGCTAATCAATAAAATAAAAATTTCAATAATTTGATGTTTCTGCATTGAATTTGACATGTGTAGCAAGATTGAAGCATAATGATATTGTATATAATAGCAATATTGACTGTCAGTATCTATGGTAAATAATATCTCTGAATCTTTCATCTTTTTGTGGTAATTGAAATATCATTTCGGAAGCTTGCCCTCTAGGTTCCTATTGCCCTCTTGCTACACTCAATAATGCAACTGGTGTATGTGAACCGTGAGTTCTAATTCTTGCTCTGTTGTCTGTTTATTTGTTGAGTTATTACTTCCATACTTTGTGGACAATATTAATCTATGGATATGTTTCTGCAGATATTTTTATCAATTGCCTCCAATGCAGCCAAACCATACTTGTGGAGGAGCAAATATCTGGGCTGATGTTAGTAGCAGTAGTGAGATATTTTGTTCAGCAGGATCGTATTGCTCTACAACTACCAAAAGAATTCCTTGCAGTAGTGGGTATTATTTTGTTCCAACCCGTGGTTACTACTCATAAACTGCAAAAGTTGGATCCTGGATGAAGTAGTCCAAAGTATTTAAGATATTGGATGAAATGACCTTGCCTAGTTGCACTTGAAAACCTCAGACTTTAAACTAGCCAGCAAAAAGATGATAACTTCACTTTATTTACAAATAGAGTATTTATACTATTATGTTCTTGTGATGGTTATAAAAACAGTTTTGCTGCCCCTAGTTCATTATTCTGATTATTTTGAAACTTCTCCCTTGAAATTTCAGGCATTACTGTAGGATGGGTTCTACGTCTGAGGAAAGTAAGATATCATGGATTGTGAATTATTGCGACAACACATCTGTGTTTCAGTCTAAGATTCTTACATGAGCTTCTTACCGAATGTTTCCAGAATACATATGACCATTTACTGATTATCTTGTAGGATGCTTCAAGTTGAGCTCATGTAATTCAAACACTGTGACCCAAAATATGCACGCATATGGAATTATGCTCATGGTAAGTTATTATTTGTAGTAAATATGGATAATATTTGTAATTATTTGTTACCTTTATTAGCCAGATTACGTTTAGGATTTAGACAGAGTATGTTTAGGATTTGGGTTTATTCCTTTAGGTGCATTAGTTTCTCTATAAATATTGTAACCCTATGAATGTTTTCTCAAGTGTGAATAATATTTCAGTTTTCACCTTTCAAGTTTATTTCTTATTCTTATGGATTATGGAATAGGAATAATAAGGGTATAGTTGTGCTTTATTGGGATTTATTGTTCTTTGGGTGTTCTTTTGTTTTTATTGATAAGGTGGGGGTTATTTGGGGCTTTTAGTAATATAGAATTTCTTAGTAATCAATCTGGATCTGCTTATTTAAGGATTGATGTGTACTGAATTTTAGAGACTTTTACACTTGAAAATTGAGAATTGAAATTTTTCTTGAATTTCTATTTCTCCATTTGTGATCTACTTCCCCTTTTGCTCTTTCTCTACCTTTCACTCTCCCCCCCCCCCCCCAGATTGTATTTTCGTTCTATTTATCCCTTATCCATTGTACATTAATGTTGTAAATATTAGTTATTTACTTTATTATTATTATTTGTTGTATTGGGCCAAGCCCATTAGGTCAAGTATTAGGTCAAGAATTAGGTCTTTTATTCTTTATAAATAGAGACCTCTTTGTACAGATTATTTACACAATTCAATAATAATCAGAATACCCTTTTACAAGTTGGTATCAGAGCTCTCGATCCTGAGGGCTCTGCTTCCGCGCCTATCGTCTTTAGAACGAAACCTTTTATTCTTTTTTCGTCTCTCGCTGCCATCAGCCGCCACCGGAAATTTTTTTCCGGGGAACTCTTGGACCGAGAAGACCACTGTTCCCCTTGTCTTGTTCCAATTTATCATTCTACTTACTATTTCACAATAGCAACTACGTAAAACACCTTCAGCCACCGTGCAACAGAACTCTTCATCGCGTTTTGGACCTTTTCCGGCGACCTTTCAACTCCAACCAGCCCCAGATAGGTTCACGCTCCTCGGACGACCTCGCCGCAGAAAGCTCAGCCCGGAAATCCGCCCACACGCGCCACAATCTTCACCGCGAGTGACACCCACGCGCCGACAGCTTCACCGGCGCGTGGCTTCGAATCTCCGCCGCGGACCACTGCCGTTCTGCTCGTCTCTTCCTGTTCTTTCGGATCTGTCCTTGTTTGTTTAATCGGACACCATTTAGTTGTTCGATCTGAAACGGAGAGATTTTTTACGGTTCCGATCATCTTGATTCTATTCGTAGTGATATGTCAGACGTTGAAGACACATCAACCAATCAGCCTTCAACTGGTCAACCGCCTATTACAAGCCCGATGGCTATTCTTTCTCCATCTGATCTTCCTGCTCTTCATCAAAATTATCGTCTGAATGGAAAGAATTATTTACAATGGTCCCAGGTTGTTTGTACCATTCTCAAAGTACGCCGTAAAGTTGCTCATATTGAAGGACCTGTTCCTGCCAAAACAGCTCCAACATTTGCTGATTGGGATGATGAAGACTCACTTATTATGACGTGGCTATAGAACTCTATGACTCCTGAGGTTAGTCAACATTGCATGTTTTTACCTACTGCTCTTGAGATCTGAAAAGTTCTTAAGCAGACCTATTCAATGAAGCAAGATGCTGCCACTTGTTTTGATCTGAGGAATCAGATTTTTTCTACCAAGTAAGGCTCTCTCTCTATAACAGAATATTATGGTATTATGAATAAGTTATGGACTGAGCTTGATCAGTACGAGAATTTGAAGATGGAATGTAGCACGAATGCAACCACTCTGACCATCGCCATTGAAACGCCATAGGATCTATGATTTTCTTTGTGGTCTCAACTCATAATATGACCCTATTGGAGTTCAAATTCTTGGTAAGGAAAAATTACCGTCTCTTTCTGAAGTTTTCCACATTGTCAGGGGTGAAGAAAGTCGCAGGGCTATCATGATGGATACCAAAGTGTCCGAAGGGTCCATTATGCTCTCATCTAAAGTTACTACTCCAACTCCTTCTGATTCTGATCCCACTAATGGGTCTGCTATGATTTCAACAAAAAAGGATGGTTCTTCTCAAAGGAGTTCTTTTACAAAATTTTCTAGTGGCATCTTCTAGACCTAGGAAAGATGATCGCTGGTGTTTTTATTGTAAAAGAACAGGTCATATCAAGGATCTATGCTTTCGCCTCCATGGAAAGCAAACGGTCTTAGAAAAGATGGCAAGGATGCGTGGTCAAGCGCATTTTACTTCCTCTGAAATAGCTCCTGCACCTAATGAGACCCAACCTGCATTCCGTCAAGATGAGTTGGAACAGCTCCGAACCATCCTTGATTCTCTGAGTAAGCCATCTGATACTAGTGCTTTGGCTATGACTAGTATGAGCTCCAAACTTATTCTTTTCTTTCTTCATGTACTGATTTTAAACATTCTTGGGTTGTTGATTCTGGTGCTACTGATCATATGGCTTGTTGTGCTGACTCCTTTACTTCTTATCATCCTACCATTGGAACTCATACAATAGCCGTAGCTGATAGCTCACATACATCAGTTGCGGGTTCTGGTAACATAAACTTACAGCAGTCCTTACATCTTAAAGATGCCCTTCATGTTCCTAAACTCTCCACGAATCTTCTTTCTATTCATAAAATTACAAAAGACTTGAATTGTACTGTAACTTTCTTCCCTACTCACTGTGTTTTTCAGGATCTCGCCACGGGGAAGACGATTGGGAATGCTAAAGAGCAAGTTGGGCTATACTATCTGGTGTCACAATCTCCCGCCAATAAAGTAACGGATCACATCTTGCTGTCTCATGGTCAATCAACTGCTGATTCTTTGATTTGGCTTCATCATAAGCGCTTGGGACATCCTCCATTTAGTTTACTCAAGTCTTTATTTCCGTCATTGTTTTTATCTAAGTCTGTTGAGTCTTTTCATTATGATGTTTGTGAGTTTGCTAAGCATCATCGTGTGTCTTTCCTTCTAGTATTACTAAAAGTGTTGAACCTTTTGATCTTATTCATTCTGATGTTTGGGGTCCTTCTAAGGTCCCTCATCCTTCTGGAAATAAATGGTTTGTTTCTTTTATTGATGATTGCACTCGTGTAACTTGGGTTTACTTAATGCGAGAAAAGTTTGAGGTACCACAACTATTTTTTCAATTTTATAAAATGGTTAAGACCCAATTTGGTAAAAAATCAAGCGACTAAGGACTGATAATGGTACTGAATATGTTAATCACTGTTTTTCCCAATTTATACGAAATAACGGTATGATTCATGAACTTACTTGTGTTGACACCCCTCAACAAAATGGGGTTGCTGAAAGAAAGAATCGTCACCTTGTTGAAGTGGCTTGTGCATTACTGTTTCAGACACATGTACCCAAATACTATTGGGGAGATGCCATTCTTACTGCAGCATTCTTGATCAACCGTTTACCCACTCGGGTACTTGACCATGTAAGTCCTATTCACTCGATAACTTCTTTTTTCCCTTCTATTCCAACTATGAGTCTTCCTCCACGAGTGTTTGGGTGTGTTGTTTTTGTTCATGTTCATAAACATCATCGCAGTAAGTTGGATCCTAGGGCTTTTAAATGTGTCTTCCTTGGTTATGCTCCTGATAAGAAGGGCTACAAGTGCTATCACCCTGGTAGTCGAAATTTTTTTGTTTCTATGGATGTTACATTTCAGGAATCTGAGTCCTTTTTCCAAGGTCCTCATCTTCAGGGGGAGAATAATTCACCAGAAAACTCATCACCTTCCATATTTGAGTTTGAATCTTTAGTGTCTACTCCTTCACCTGTGTCAGTGTCTCCTCCTCTTGTTCCTATTCCTTCTGTGTCTATGTCTGATCCTCCTGTGACTGATACATCAAGTACACCAGAGATACGGAAGATTGTGACACCTGAGTTGGTATATCAAAGAAGGAAACAACCCACATTGCCTCACCAGCAACCTCAATCGTCTGAACCACTGGTAAGTCCTGAATCTCATATTTCTGATCATGATGTTAATACTTCTGATGACTTACCCATTACTACTGATTCTGATGATTTACCCATTGCTCTAAGAAAAGAAAAAAGATCTTGTTCCAAGAAATCTTGTTCCTCCTGTTCCTCTTGTACTCAATACCCTATTTCCCATTTTGTTTCCTCTACTAATCTTTCTGTGCAGCACAAAAGCTTTGTTTCAGCACTAGATTCTATTTCAATCCCAAAATCAGTACATGAAGCTTTGAAAGATGGGAATTGGACTCAAGCCATGCAAGAGGAGATGAATGCGTTGGAGAAAAATAAAACATGGGAGGTTTTTGATAGACCTAAGGGAAAGAAAGCAGTAGGGTGCAGATGGGTTTATGCCCTGAAATATAATTCTGATGACACTCTTGAGAGATACAAAGCTCGATTAGTCGCCAAAGGTTACACTCAAACCTATGGCATTGATTATGAAGAAACCTTTGCTCCAATTGCAAAGATGAATATGGTGAGAATCTTGTTATCCCTTGCTGCCCATTACAATTGGGATATAAATCAATTTGATGTGAAAAATGCTTTCCTCAATGGTGAGTTAGAAGAAGAAGTCTACATGGAAATCCCGCCTGGTTTTGATTCTGTGAAGGGAGAAAATAAAGTTTGTAGATTAAAAAAGACCTTGTATGAATTGAAGCAGTCACCTCGTGCCTGGTTTGGAAGGTTTACTAAGGTTATGATGACCTTAGGATACAGACAGAGTCAAGGAGATCACACTCTTTTCTTCAAGCACTCCCAAAATGGGAAGCTTACTGTGCTCCTTGTATATGTTGATGATATTATTATCACAGTTGATGATTTTGTGGAGAGACAGATTCTGCAAACACGGCTTGCCTCTGAGTTTCAAGTCAAAGACCTTGGGAAACTGAGATATTTCCTAGGGATACAAGTAGCTCATTAAGCAAAAGAATTTTTATCAGCTAGAGGAAATA